ATGGGCGTCGAAGCAAACCCAAGCAGATCGGAAAACGCTCCTGCCCCCGCCCGACATATTTTTTTTCTCTTCTTCAAGAACCTGTCGTTGCGGTCGCTCCGGAGGAAGTAGGTCGCGTTAATCGCCAGCAGTTTTGCCGCGAGGCGCCACATTTCCCGCTCTCTGCGTTGCGATCCTTTCGGCGCTACACTCGCCCTATTATCGACTCTCGCGCGGCGTTCTTCGGGGCTATCGACGACCACCGCCGCTCGCAGCCCCTTTGTCACATCGCCGCGAACGAATCGCGTCCTTTTCGCGACGCTGCCGCGTCCTTTCCAGTCGCCGCGCTCTTTGCCGGCGGCGCGGCGCCGCGGCGCGTACGCTCGTCGACCTCGTCGCGCGCGGCTCCGGCTGTCCGAGGATTTTCAATATCCCCGGAATACCTTCGCCCTTTGAGATTCAGATATTGCGAGCGAAGCACCTTCGGTGACCTTTCCGCGCGACCGCTCGAATTTGCGCAGACCGAGTTCGAGCGCTCGGCAAGGATCATCACGTCGGCTGATGTCCGCGCGACCTCCGTCTCTCCCTATCGAGACGCTATCGATCGCGCCGCCCGGTATCGGCAATTTCAGACGGTCGCAGTTGACGTCGCGGGAACCTCCGCGGAGAATGCCGGGGAAATCTCCGCAATTGTACGCGAGTGAAAACTTCAGCAGCCCGCCGTTCCTTGTCTAAAATTGTCGCGCTCCTTGCAACTTCTTGCGATCTCCTGTATCCTCGATTTTTTATCACACACATATTACAGGTATTTAAGGTTTAATGAGGTTGCCGAGAGAATCACACTCACTCTCGAGCGAGTCCCTTCAGCGTCATCGGCGAGGTATCGAATGCGCGCCGCCGCCGCCGCGCGTCGGCACCGGAAGTCGCCGACGTTTCCGAGAGCGCGACGCGCGTCTTGGAAGGCATCCAAGGACGTGTCAGCCGCACAGCGTGACGTAATTTTAAATCTCGATGCAACATAGCGGAGAGACCGAGCGCAGTGACGTCGCAATGGCCGAGGACGTCGTTGAGGACGGAGCGGCGGCTCGCGAAGGTCCAACTGCTCCTGCGGCCAGTCGTGCGAACGTCCTGCGCGACGAAGGTATTTTCCTTAACATTAACGTTACGGCGGCGGATTACAGCGACGTGACGCGCGTATGCCTGCGTGATTCGTTCAGCACAGGATATTCGATCCTGCGTATAAAGAGAGAGAGAGAGAAAGAGAGAGAGAGAGAGAGAGAGAGAGAGAGAGAGAAAGAGAGAGAGAGAGAGAGAGAGGGAGAGAGGAAGAGAGGGGGCAGAGATCCGCACGCTCCCTCGTGTACATTTATGTAAAAAAAATATCTGTCGTACATTATGTAACGTATTACGCGCGTATTTGTAAATACTCAAGTGCACGTGATGTAGGTCACTCGTGTGTACCTAAAGCTTGCGCTCGCAGGCGCATTTGTGCGTAAGCTGCAGCTCTTTTTATTTATTTACGCGCCGTATATAATATGTATGATTGTGGACGCGGTGCGAGATCGAGAGATCGTCATGTGTGCGACGAATGTAGCGCGGCAGGATGTCGAGTCGGCGTCGATGAGCTCGAACGAGGTACAGCCGAGCTGGCTGATCAGCCTGTGCATTCCGCGCGTGCTGAAGAAGCCAAGAAGCCCGAGGTATCCGACAGGTCCGACGGTGCCTGAAGCGCAGCGACTGGTAGCAACGAAGAATGCGTACTCGCAGACGTACTACAAGTTTTTGAAAAATCTCACCGACAATCGATGCGTCGACATCCTGAACGTGCCTGTAAATCCCGAGAAGCCGGACACGGTGTTTTACCGCGACTCCTGCGAGATGTTGCTTGACGAAATGGACGAGTTGACGGAGAGTGGGCAGTAGAAGGACACCGTGCGAGGAGCAGAATAAAATAAAATCCACTTGCTATCTATCTCGAGTGAGTTGAAACTTTTCCGAAATAAGGTCGTTGCTTTCCCTCGCTTAGCGGCGCGTGAAGGCGAATCGCTGTTCGATCGCGCATCGCTGATAAATAAAAATGATCTCGTCCTCAAGTTGTAACACCTGAGAACGAACGCACCGTTGCAGACTCGCTCTGTTCAGCTGTGCAGTATGAAAATTAAACGGTTATTTGAATCGCCAATCGGTACTCTTTTCTTTTTTTTTGTATAGCGGTGCAAGTTTATTTTATTGTGATGTTTGGACAAATACGTGCAGCGAGTACAGGGACTGTCGGCAGTCGCGAAATTTGGATTTAGGGTCCATGAATACAGTTTACGCGGAACTGGAAAGTGAGAAAAAGTGGTAATGTAATTCAAGTATTAATGAAGATATAAATGTAATAGATATATTTGCAGAGGAGTAGCATAATTGACATAAATATAAATTCCGCGCAAAAATTATAGGATTGCACTGGATGGAAAGGACATTACAAACTGTCCTTTCACAAAATTATCCTTTCGAGACTTATTCATCAGCATCCTCGCCGAAGGCATTACAATTGATTGAAATTCCTATTTTTCACGAGAAAAATGGTACTTTAATTAAAACGAATTTAACTTGAGCCCCGTTGAATCGTTCGTTCTTTTCAAAAACAAAAGTATCCGACTACTCGTTGACTCGTACCGTTGGAAAATGGAAAGATCTTCGACTTGTCAAAGCTGAAAAATTAAAAAGCAAAGAAACATTTTACAAATTGTTAAATTGTATTACTTCGAAATACAAATGCTTCCTGAGTTGCCGTTATGTTTGTAAAATTAGAAAATAAAAGGTGCATTTAATTTATCGTTGAGTTGTACTACTATACTATCTCGATTTGTGAGTAGAAATGGTGGCGTCTCATAGCGGAGACTTTGCAACTAAAAGTCAACAGACCCAACTGCTTCTCGGATGAAGAGGCTGATTTTCAGCCAAGACTCAAACTACAATTCATCCGCCTCCATAAAATTTAAAGCCGAAACTGAACCAGGCATTTTTTATGAACTTTCAGAATTGTATTCGAAAGTACTCATCGAAATATATAAAGTGACACCACCTTCGAGTTTTTCCCTCTGCCGAAAATAGAGATATCGCCGTAATTACTGAAAATCAATTACTTGTAGGTACTTCCGATGGAGGGAAAAAAAATTCAAGAATAATGTCATTTTACTTAATTTGATCAATCCTCTCAAATGCAATTCTAAAAATTCTCAAAAAATGTCTGGTTTAATTTCGGCTAAATTTCACGGAAATTGTGGTTCAAGTCTTGGTGAACATCAGCTTCTTAACCGAGACTCGAACCACAATTTACCAGCCTCCGTAAAATTTGATCGAAACTAAACCAGGCATTATTTTCGGGAATTTTTAAAATTGCATCTCCGTTACAAGACGCCACCGTTGAAAAAAAGAAAGAAATAAAATAAAAAACGAAGTAGGGGTATAACTCAACGGCAAGGTAGACGCGCCTTTTATTTTCAAGCTCTACGGCACGAGTAGAGCTTAGAAAGAAGTAAAATTAAGTAAAATTGGTAAAAGGTCTCTTTGTTTTTAAATTCGTCGACAAGTCAAAAGAGAAGATATCTGGCTTTGGTGGATGTAGTTTATTGATACCTTTATTGATACCACGAAAAGAACGAAATCGTACATCTCATTCGGAAAACGATACATCGTGCGTGCAAATGAAGGGTATGACGTTGATGGTGCACCTCTGCTTTGTCTCTCCTGTCGAGCGCGTCGCATCAACAGCAGCATCAGCAGCAGCGGTAGCAGCAGCAGTGGGCCGAATTCGTTCGCTTATTTACTTACTTATTTGTCGCATATTTCCTTAATGACAGGGTATATGGGGGGGGGGGTGAGGGGGTATGGTACTTACGCTAAATCAACGCGTACAGCCGGAGTGGGAACATCGGGAGCGGTTATTCGCTATTACGGTACGGCTAATCGGTACGGTTTTATTGAGTACGAATTAATTACGATAAGTACAAGTATGCTTGTGCATTGTAGTTTCATAGAAAACGTCACGTGGCCTCGTAGCTTCGTGTCAACATGTCGAACGCCGCGCGAATTTCGTTCGGCCCGATCGTGCAGGACCGTGCGCGAAATTAATACGACGAAATAATCGCTAACGCGATTTTATTATCGCTAACGCGAATGCACCGGCGACGCTCGCCGCATGTAGCTCGCTGCTAACGTACGTGGCTCACTAAATATACGTATAAGCTGCTTGTATCTTACACGCGAATCAATATCAGACGCGTCAATAAATACCCAAGCAACGCCGAAGTCAACGCTAAAGTCGTCTAAAAGATGCCCCAGAATTTTCTAAAAGATCCTGGAGAAGTCCTAAAATCCTTCTCAATACCTCCTCGCCTTTGCGGCATCCTTCGAACGCGTTCTCGCCTAATCGCCGAGCACTATCGCGGCGTTCAACGTGTTAACGAATGCAGCTGTCTGTGTGTGTGTGGAATGTGTCTATGTGTCTATGCGTGTACGTGAATGTGTGTGTGTATGTGTGATCTCGACACCGAACCGGAATATCGGTCGACATCAGTGTCTCATTCTATCCGAGTCTTTCGAGATAGCCACTAGAACAGAGTTTCAAAAGTCACTGCCAGCTCTGCGAGTACATGTATGTATGTTGTGTGTGTGTGTGCTTGTGTGTGCATGCATGCATGTATGTAACCGTGTACATGTGCATACGCGTGTGTGTCTGTTTCTCTCTGTGGGTACGTGTACTTCTCTCTATGCCTATTCTTTTTCGTTTAATCTCCCTTCTTCTCGTATTTAGCGTTGCGTGTATTCTTTTTCTTACGTGTCGACGATTAGCGATGGCAGTGAATACTGGATCTCGCTCTAGAGCTTCGAGATCACACTCTCTCTCTCTCTCTCTCTCTCTCTCTCTCTCTCTCTCTCTCTCTCTCTCTCTCTCTCTCTCTCTCTCTCTCTCTCTCTCTCACTCACTCACTCACTCACTCACTCTCTTTCTTGCACTCAATCTTTCTCTCCCTCTCTCTCTCTCTCTCTGCCTCATTCGTACAGCTTTATTTTTCTCATGCTTTTTTCTTACGCAATATGAAACCCTACCCGCAGTCTCTCCCTCGCGTTACCTTCTCTTCGTTACGTTTCGTTTTTTGCTTTCTTGCTCCTCTCGCCGTGCACTTCACAGCTTCTTGTACCAGAAGAGGTAGTGCTCGCCCTCGCTGATTTGCAAGTCGTCGACACCTGCAAATACGGCGCGCGGTTATATCACGATCGCGAGGTAGTTCTGGTTGGTTTCGTCGTCGCACGGTAAATTTCTGCATCGCATCCTCGATACGCGTTCGAATCTACAGCCGCATGCATAATTTTCCCTCGAGATATCGAGCGAGGGAGAAATCAACGCGAACAGGATTTCTCTTCTCGTTCCGTCTTTTTATCTTTCTCTTCGTCGCGTCGTCTCTACTCGCATTCTTCATCATATACCATACCATTATTATTATTATTCATAAAAATAATAGTCGCAAGCCGGCTGCGACTATTATTCGTCGTACCTCCAGGCGCGACCAGTTGATTCCCGGGCGGCGAGGAAGGTTCCGGCGGCGACGGCAGTCTGTAGAGCAGCCAATAGTGATAGGACATCGGCTCCTCCTTGTAGCCGGCCAGCGTGTGAACGTAGTGACCGTTAGGCCATTCGGACGCGGTGAACTGGAAATGAGGCGACATCTCCGCCGCCAGCAGCATCACCCCGTAGAAGGTCTCGTTCTTGGGCGCGGTCACCGTCAGGTTGTACGTCTCGTTGAGATTGCTGCCGACCCACAGGGTGTACGACACATTCACCAGCACCGGCGGCGCCGTGCCCGCGATCGTCGTGTCCACGTTGCTGACGTTGCCCGCCGAGGCCGAGGGTATCGCGGTCTCGCTGTGGTTGTCCGAGGTCGAGACGTCTGCAACTCGTAAGTTTAACGGACCATCGTTTCGTCCCTTCCACGACGACGAAAGTCTACGACCGATGCGTATTATCGCGAACGTATCGATTCTCCGATGGGGTGACTTTCGATCCGAGTCAGACTTGAGAGCGCTAAGACGAGCGAATTTCCGTCCGGACGGAAGAGTCTAATTAGAGTCGCGGGGGACTTTGATGAAAAGTTACGGGAGGGGGGCTCTACAAATCCACTCCCGTGAACTCGAATTAATGAATCTCCGCCAAAGACGGAGATGCGACTGCAAAAATACTGGCTCGGTGGGAAAATTCGGTGCGATTCTTCGCCTGCTCGAAGCGATCAGTTTCCATGACAGGACATTAACAGGACATTGGCGACAGGTCGCAGATATCCTTGACTGCTTGGTCGCACTCGGTTCTCACCGAGTGCGACCAAGTCGTCAGGTTCGACAGGAGAATCGGATCGAGCTTCTCGACCGAACCCTCGGTACAATGAGACAGTTACTGTTGCTGGTGGTGAGACGAGGTGGCGAGTTATCCGACAGACCCTGGCCGCAGTCAAGAGCTCGAATGCTGGCCAGCCCGCGCGGCGCAACCCCCAGCATCGCCTCGGCGGTGACCCGGACGTCGCCGCGAAAAGAGCCGTCCGTACGCTGCTGGCTGATCAGCCAGGCCAAGGCCGCGGACCTGTTCCAGTTGTCGGCCGGCTCGTTCTCCACCTCCTCCAGCGCCTGCATCACCAACGCGGTGGTGTGCAGGTCGCCGAAGCTGCCGTCGAGTCGCTGCTGCTGCGCCAGTCCCATCGACGGCTTGCGCACGAAGTGGTGGAGGTTCCGGTGCCGGTGGTCTTGGACGATGCACTGCAGCGCCAGGATCACCATCGCCACGGTGTCTGCGGACATTTTCGCGCGAGTCAACACACGAAGGTGGGAGAAGGTTGGCGTGATGGTCAGCGAGAAATGACATTTCTCAGCTAGCGCTAGCGCGGTCAAGTTGTCCTTTTTCATCGCGTCACCATTCGAAAGGAGTTTAACGCACCACGCCGTAGGCGACATGTTGCAATAATTATAGAAATCTTATCGAGTCACTTTCCAATTAGTTTGGACTGATTAACGAGTTACTTTCGGAATTCAGTTTGATCGTGGTGATCGCGCGATTGGACCCTTTTCTTTTTTTTTATCACGGTGGGGAAATCCTCATGGATACCCTCGACCCTTGGGGGGATCGAAATTGGATTGGGGAGAGGGGGGCGCGTGATTGGACCCTGACCCAGGTAGAACAGAAAATCCACGATGACATGAAAATGACGAGAAAATGACTGAATCATAATGAAAAAAGTGCGTTTTCCTCATCATTTCGACGTCATTCTGATGTCATCGTGATTTTCTGTTCCGCCTGGGGGAGTGAGTTCTCACGGATTTTAAGGTTTGAAGAGAGGGACTGCGGGGGACTCTCCGCGTGCACTCACCGACGTTGTGGTCTCGCGCGGCGTTCGCGATGTCCAGGAGGCGACGGATCTGCCGCTTGCGCACGTGCGCCTGCGCGCTGCACGCCGCGAGCGTGGTGAGCGCGAACTCGTAATCGGTCGGCGGCTCGTGATGCTGCAACGTGCCGATCAGGTCGTGACCGTGGAACTGCCTCGGGTCCATGCACATCGCGTTCAAGGCCAGAGTGTAGCGCGCCAGCCGAACCGGGGAAAAGCCGACTTCTCGGTGTCTGTATGCGAGCGCGAGAAAAAGCAGAGTCAGTATCTGGCGAACGTGTTTTGCGGGGAAGCGTCGTGTTCAAGCCCGTTCGACCTCTTCAGGGACGCTGATGCATGTGTGCGCCCGTTCGGATACGTGCAATTTATCTCCTTCGCTCGGAGCATTATCGACGAAGTTAGAGCGTGCGGGGAGGAGGAGGAGGAGGAGGAGGAGGAGGGGGGGGCGCGAATCTCGCCACGTGACCGACGAACGTCGTACTTGCGGACTCGTCGCTTCAAAACGAAACATTCTCGTCCGACATGAAAATATTTCTCCATGTTACATATCATTGTGCTTTTTACATGTTTATAATAAATATTTTGAATGTTTAGACTCGCTCGTGCGCGTGAAATCTTGAATTTAACACATCACACGGTATATAAATGCAAGAGAATCGTCGTCGAAGAGAGACGAAGCACGGAGCACGGAGGTTCTCGAGGCTCAAGTTGAAGACTCCTCGAGGAAGAGCGACGATCGCTCGAGCGGCTCTCGATTGCACCGGATGAGCACGCGAGCGAGGTGGGTGGAGCGAGCTGGTGGATCGCGCTCGGTGTAATTGCAATTAATTGGGATATTAACGCTTCGGGTCCTCGGCGACGCTCTTTGCGCAACGACGAGCGACTGAAGCAGACACTCCTAGCGGAAGAATCGATAACGCGGAAGCGCCGCGCCGACGAGCGCGAATCCGCCGTCGTCGAGGAGGGCCGCTCTCTCTCTCTCTCTCTCTCTCTCTCGCGAAACGGAGCGGCGTCGCACCTAGACGAGGTCTGTCTCCGTGCACGCCAGCGATAACTCGGCGATAAAGAATGTCAAGACGTGTACACGCCGGGCTCTGAGAACTACCCGCTCGCTCCCCCCCCTCCTCTCTCTCTCTCTCTTTCTCTCTCTTCACTTCCCCGCGCACGTGAAGTTTCTAGGTCGCTGAAAAGTACCGCAGTATTATTACTTATACGTCCGTGGCGTACTTCGGGGACTCGGCCCACCTAGGGCCTCGTGAAATTGTCTACTCGTCACAAATCGTCGTCGTCGATCGCGAGCTGAGCTTCCCGATCGGCCTCGAGGCGACGCGCGTGCCGATCGTCCGCTGCTGACGAAGGCGTTCTACTTGTTTTGCACTTCGGACTCGAAACGGGGAATCCGACCGAGCTCACAAGTAAATCTCGGGGAACGTCAGACGCCGATTTGTTTCCAATCTTTTATAGTTATTTCTTACATGTCAAAACATGAAGAAATCCGTTATCATTTTCAGCTTGAATTAATTTTTTCAATTTTTTCGGAATTTTTCAAGTTTTGCACAAGGACACTATTTTATACGTATTTAAAACAATATTTCTTAAAAATATATATGTCTGATTTGTTGAAACTTGCACACACATGTCGCCGATTAAAAAGATCAGAATCATTTTGTAAAATTCAAAATGGCGGATCTAATATGGCTGACGTCATTGTTGAAAAAGTGTTCAGTTTCACGCTACACGTTCGACGTTGGATAATCTTTCGGCTCACTGTCCGGCAAACAAGTTCATTTTAACGTCAAAATCTGATAAAAAAATGAACAAGAAGTGAACAAAAAACTTCGGAAATTTCGAAAAAGTTGAAAAAATTAATTTAAGCTAAAAATGACAACAGATTTCTTTATATTTCGACATTAAAGATAACTATAAAAAATCAGCGAAACAAATCTGACGTCTGACGAGTCCCCGAGGTTTACTTGTCAGCGTCGCACATCTTGGGTGAGGGGGGACGGGGGAGGGGCGGAAAAATGTTAATTAGCATGACTCTGTACCTCCACAGCGAAAGCACAATCTCCAGTTCCATCTGCTTGGCGGTGAGCTGCAGCTCGAGCGGCGCCGGCGGCGCGACGTTGTCGTCGCGGGAGAGATTCGCCAGGCGGAGAACCAGAAGCACCCGGTGCGTGTCGTTACCCCATCCGGCGTCCTTGTCCCGTTGACTCCACAGCCACGTGGCCGCTCGCTCGAGGATGGTCTCCGCCTCGGCGTCGGCGGACGTCACCTCGGTGTTGCCCACTGAGTACCGCGACCGCGAACGTTCTCTCGTTATTATTCTCTTATCGCGAGGTTATACACGCATTCCCGCCATGTTGACTGCTGTGACGGCCGGGGGGGGGGGGGGGGGGAGGAGAAGGATGATACCCTCGTCGAATTTATTCCTATTAGCTTTATATGCTTCTGACGGTCTTGCTCCCGTTTGTGCCGTTTAATCCGTTTATCGTCACGTTCGTGTGTGTGTGTTAAGTTCGTCCTTTTTGAGCCCGGAGGATCTAACCAATTTTGCTCGCGATGGAAGTGGTGTGTGTGTGTGTGTGTGTGTGTGTGTGCGTGCGTATGATGCGCATTATTTGCATTTTTTAATCCGGGAAAGAGGACTGGGGAGGAATCGAAAAGACCCGGAAAAAGTTTGAATCGAAAAAGAGAGGAAATTTCTTCCCTCGATACGGCGACTTTGGAGTCGCCGGCGATGAGGCGAACGCGCGAGTCCTGCGAGTCGCACTCACCCTCGCCGTGTCCTTGGCCGTTCAAAGCGGAGTCGAGCGCTCGGAGGGACGACGGAGGGACGTCAGCACACGGCAGTCAACGTGGCCGAGACGCGAGTCGTTTTCGTGGATTACGCAAACGTACCTTCCGCACGGGCGAAAACGCACAGCCATCCGAGGAGGAGGGTCACCGCCGCCATATTCGCTCTTCCCCACATCACACCCGGGCTAGCGTCTCAAATTGCGTCCGTCGTCCTGTTGCACCTGAAAAAAATCGAATATAGAACGATTCGCACGGATATATAAGGAAACTCCGTTAACACACTATGTGTTATCCCACTTTTCCCTCGCTCCTCCGGCAATCTTTTCCCCTCCGCTCCACCTGCTCTTTTTTCGTAATATTATTCTCCCGCCCTCGTGCGGCAAATATCCCGGGCGAAAAGTTAGCGCCGCGGGAACGTCGGCGGGAATGGTCCTCGGTATCGCTCAGTATGCATGCCCTCGCTCGCGGAGAGCAAATCTTTCGGCGGAAAGTTCGCGCGCGGGCGCGGCGTCGCGCGAGTTCCCATAGAATATACCATGAATATTTAAACGTTCCCACCAGCCTTCCTCGCGTGTTTCGTTAAACTTCCCAGCGCGCAGACAAACACGCCGGAATAAAGCGCGCGGATAGAGACAGCGAGACGGAGAAAGAGGGACGGACGGACGGACGGACGGATGGGGGGGAGGGAGGGAGGGAGGGAGGAAGAGGGAGCAGGAACTGCATTCGAGGCGCACTCGCGCCGCGCTGCTTTGATTTTCGTGCTCGGACCTCCGCGAGCGAATTAACTTACGCGTCAGGCACGTCCACACGTCCGGGAACTCGTTCGACAGATATCGCGCCGGCTAATCACGATCAACGTCAAATCGCAACCGTCGTTAATCGAGACTCGCTCGCGCGGTGCCCATGCGAGCTCGTCGTCGACGACGGCGGCGGCGGCGGCGGCGGCGCGTGTCCGCGCGTTGCGAGTTATCCACCCCTGGCGATGACATCGCGCGTTGAGAGGCGGCCCTCTCGTCCGGTTAATTCATTATCCGCGGTGACTCGGCCAGTTAATTCATTATCCAGATCATAACTCCGCGAATTCCTTGCCTTGCGGCGCGCACGAGCGCGAGTGCGGCAATTTCCCTCGCCGCGGGGAATTTAAATTTTTAATAAATCGCTCGTGAGAGAGAGAGAGAGAGAGAGAGAGAGAGAGAGCGTGTCCGCTAATCAATCTTCCTGATTATTTTAACGTACCTTTTTTCGACGCGTTTACCTCGTCGTTGATTAAATCGTCGCGGAATTAGCACCGTGGGACTCATGAGTGCGCATTTCCTTCCGCTCCCCCCTTCTCTCTTTCTTTCTCACTCTTTTTTTTTTTTTTTTTTCATGCGAAAAGTCAGGATGCGTGGAGTTACACTTAGATCATTCTTGACCTGTTTGGATATGGCTATGTACATTTTCATTTCTTTTCATTTCATTTCGTTTTATTTCATTTTATTTTATTTTACTTTTACTTTACCTAATCCCGAGATTTTTGAAATTGATATTAACGAATTTTAAATTCCAACTGTTCTGTATTTTAACTCATGTTTTAATTTGTAAATTCTGTCTATGCGCTTGAGGGGACTTGTCCCAGAGCGCTCAATAAATGACGCTTCTCTCTCTCTCTCTCTCTCTCTCTCTCTCTCTATTTCTCTGCATTTTTTTATTTATCCCTATCGATACACGCTATCTAAATAATCGCTCAATATCGCGACCGACCGGTCATTTCCCGTTTAATTAATTGGACAGGTAAACCTCATGTTGCTCACGCGATGCGCTGAGAGGCGCGCTCTTGCGCCCGCGACAAATTACCGTACACTGATAGAAAAATATAGTTGAATTAACTATAACCTCACTATATCTTATAGTTCATTCTGGCGTCAACCATATTTTTATAGTTCGTCGAACCTGCCTGCAAAATATAGTAGAATAAACACAAACATATAGTCAATGATTGTCTAAAATAATTGTTTAGTTACTTTTACACATATATGGTAATTTCTCATTCACAAATATAGTGAAATTTAATATTCATATAGTTACATCTGTCATCATTTAGCAAATATTCTGGTAATATTGACTATATAAAAGAGTTACTTTACCTACCATTTTATATTTGTATCCATACAATAATTTTAGTTTAACTTACTATAATTCTCAGTAAAAATATTATATGGTTGGTTATACTATGCCTGTATCGTAATGATTACCGATATTGTGGTAATACTTACTATTTCGGACTATAATTTAATTACTATATCATTATAATTCCAAATATCATATACTTTTCCCTCAGTGTACGGGTCCTCTCCTCCCCGAAAAGCGCCCCGCGGCCGCTCGTCCCGCGAGCGGTCTCAAGACAAGCGGTGACAACGCGTTCTCGTGCCTGTCGCACGAAAACCGCGCGTCTGATTCATCGGTGTTTACTTTTCCACAGGACACCGCGCGGGGAGAGACATCGGCGACTCGCGCGGCCGCTCTCGCGCGATCGATCGCGCCGGTCGCGGGAATCGAACGAGCGCGTCCGCCGCGTCGGCCCATCGGTGGAATCTACAAGCGTGCGGTCTGCTCTGCGGCTTGATGAAACGTTTTAATAAAGAACGTCGCCGCCGCGCCGCGCCGCGCCGTCGTCGTCGCATACGCACACGAGGTGTACACGAGAGAGAGAGAGAGAGAGAGAGAGAGAGAGAGAGAGAGAGAGAGAGAGAGAGAGAGAGAGAGAGAGAGAGCGAGAGAGCGGAACGCTGGCAGGGCGCTGGCACGTGCACGCGCGTACGTATGCACGCACCGTCGCGCGACACCGACATGGGCGATAAATCGTGCCCTGCCGGATATACCAGCAAGTGGAACACAAGGGACGTCGGGCGTCGGTATGCCCGTGGAACACGACTCGAGCGCGCGATATTGCGTGGGATCGATATCGTGGCGCCTGTCGCCCTCTCCGAGTCCACGTATATATATATATATATGTACACACATACACATATACACGTGTAACTATGTAGACAGGTATGTGTACCTGGATAGCCTCCTCTCTCCCCCTCCCTTGCTCCTCTCTCTCTCTCTCTCTCTCTCTCTCTCTCTTTCTCTCGCGCTCTCTCTTTGGGTCTCCTTCCTTCCTCGCTCTCTTCCGCTCGTTGTCCGCTCACGACGACGCGTCCTCTATCGCGCTCATGATCGCGCGACATCATCCCCGTCTCTCTATCGAGCCGTCGTCGCGAATCTCGAGGAAGAGCATAGAGCGCGCGGGTTGCTAACGGAAAACCGGTGTGGTGTGTCGTCGTCGTCGGTGTTCTGAAGTCGGCTGCGAGACAAAACGGTCGAGAGCGTAGCGTGTAATGTACACAAACACAGTCAAATTAAAATCGTGACTCGCATTTTTCGTGTCGTTCCCCCCCCATCATCCTCCCCCACGCCCCTCTGCACGCCCCGCTGTCTCCGGCCGTTTACTCTCCCTCTGTTTCCGTTCGCGACTATGTGTGTGTGTGGCGCGTCGCATTCGCGTTATTAATAAATTTCCATTCGACGGGTATATTTTTACTTGACGCGTCCCGCGATAAACCGCTATAATTGCATCCCCCGACGTTTATTCCGAGCCCCTGTCGCGCAGAAAAGTCGGTGTGGGCGACTTTCAGAAGACCCCGACACGCGCATTCCGTTATTCTGGGGGACGGTCAAGGGACAAGAGGGATTGCACATGTAATGTTCTAAGAGGGCAGCGGGGGAGGGGGAAGCGGAGGAAATGAATCAATGAATTCCGTCGAACGGCAGTAATAGTCGTCGTTTTAAATCCTGCTAATCCTCGCGTGCATAAAAACTGCATTTATTATGCACCACCGATGCTAATTCCGCAGATATCCACGAAAGCATCCATCGGTCCCCTCCCCTCCCCGCTCCTCCCGGCAGTCGCGCGCGAGCAGTCGGGAGAGCTTTAAATATTCCAGCGGAATATCGAAGCGAGCGCTTCACCTGTTTTCGGCTCGACGCAGCTCGCTTATGTAACGGAAGCAAGCGGACGGCGAGCGTCCGTGTTGGCGAAAACAGACGGGAATAAAACGCGCGAGAATAAACGAAGAAGGAAAATAATCCGACGCGATGCGCCGTGAGCCTTGAAAACTCGCTCTCGCGACCCTCACGAGGACTCGGGGGGGAGAAGACGGAGGAAACGAAGACGGAGCCTTCGCTTTCAGAGGCGACCTCTCTCTTTCTCTCTTTGTCGAGGCAGCAGACGCGCGGATTTATACGGCTGTTGCCGTCGCTGCTGCTAACAGCTAATACTCCGCCAAGCCGCTTCGATAATGTGTCCGATCTCGAAGGGGTTGCACAGCTCCGTTAGCGGACGACGTCAGGGGGCGGGGAGGGGGAACGATGCTGCGTCCGGCTGGATGAAGCTGCCACCGTCTCTCTCGCCTCCGCCAGCCGAGAGGGAAGGAGAAAGAGAGCCGGGATCCAAGGAGACAGAGAGAGAGAGAGAGAGAGAGAGAGAGAGAGAGAGAGAGTTGCAGAGAGGGCGAGAAGGAGAGGGTGAGCCTGGCAGTTAGGACTGTTCCGCGGCAACGCGGACTATAATGGCGTTACAGCGGCTTTCGTGCGGCGGTCGGAAACGTCGATGCGAAGCGATAATAGCGACGGGAATGCAATATCGCGGGCTATGCCGGTGTAATGGATAAAAGCTCGGTTATCCTCCCGGGTAGCCCGGCTCGAATCCCAGCCATCCCCTCCGCGCGCACCCCTGCTCGCCCCGCGCCCATCCCTTTGGCTTCTTCTAAACATTGCCCCGGCGCAATGGTACTACGTATATATACCATTGTTCTCCGGAGACTCGGAACTCACTTAGAGCCGCGGCTAAACAGCTTAGCCGCCTCTGCCGTCTCCGCTGCCTCCTCCTCCGCCGCCGCCGCCGTCGCTGCCGCCGAAACTGCAAAATGCAATAGCCCTCACTGCGGTCCGTTGCAATCGTTTAGGATTACAGTCCGGCTGGACGTGGGATTCCTAGTTTTCCCTAATCCTCGGAACCTCCTCCCCCACCCCACCCCACCCACCCTCCATCCGACGAGTGTACTTGCCGACGGTCGCGCGACTTGGGTAATTGTTTCTCTTTCTTCTTTTTTACATTCATAGGCTGAGCACTCTCCACGGAAGAGGATGTGGTCTGTGCCGGCGGGCACCCCCTCGATCTTTGTTCAGCTTCGTTCTTATTGGAGATGGCTAGACGAGGATGCCTGCGTGGAGGGGAGAATAATTGTCGCTCGTGTCTCGTCGTGAAATCTCCCTCAAAGGGAGAGAGAAGAAGATTCGTCGAAACTTATGGGTAAATTGCGCGGCGGCAGTGTCGGTGTATCGTCCTTTAATGGACTCGCGAGGGTGCTGATGGGGAAGCTCGCGAGGACAGGCCGCCGTTGTAGTCGGGGAACGAAGTTTCGGGAAAGAGAGCGGAGCCTCCGCGGCAAGACACATGTAATTGTCGCAATAAGCCGAGTTACGATCGCGACGATTGCACGATAAACAAGGTTGCGCAATAAACGGCAAAGTGATGTAGCAGATTATCTCCGGCGCGGGGGACGTCTGTTTCGAAGTTGCCGGCGTAACCGTGCCCGTCGTCGGGCTAATTGCGGGTGTAATTGGAATTCGCGGAGCGCGCGCGGCCGGCGCTTCACCACGGAAACGAGAACGAGATGTGACAAGCCCCGTGACGGGGCGATGACGTCTCGATTCGAGCGTTCGTGGACGATCGGTTCGAAAAAAGAAAGGAGAAAAGAAAAAAACGAGCGCCTCGCACGACGAAGAAAAGGAGAGACGAGCGCGCGCGCAGTTTCCGAAGCCGACGCAACTGATCCCGAGATTCCCGGCGATTCTGCAGTTTCCAATATTCCGGCGGAATTGCGCCGCACAGAGACGCACGGGAGAAAAAAGCATGCACAATAATCACGGAGCAAACGTTCGGGGTTTGATAGCGCGATGCCGGGTTATTGACCGACGGCGGCGGCGGCGGCTTTTGAAGTGGTTAAGCTGAAGCGGCGCGCGCGCGCGCGCGCCTACACGGCAGCGATATAATACTATCCGCTGTAATACACCTGATTGTACAAAGGAGGCTTAATACCCCGAGCAACAACGCAGCTCGAGACAGCTATTCTCAAGAGCCCGTCTCTCCTCGGTGAATTTTAGCCTCGGAGGGAGCTGGAAATTCGTGAGAGAACCGCGCAAAAATAGACGCACGTCGCTATCGACGGGAATAATTACGTAATGCAAAAGAGGGATTCGCGCGCGCGCGCGCGCGCGCGCAGCTTGCAATTGCCAATTTTATTTGTGTCGTTATCGTTTGCCGTTATCGGCTCGAATTAGTGTCGGAGAGGAATTCGCGCGAATTGAGGAAACGCCGGCTACAAACGGGGGGGGGGGGATGTCGGGAATGTGTAGAATCCGGGAGGGACCATCTGTTAATTTATTCAGACGCGAGCGCGCGAGCAAGTCAAGTTTTATCCTCGAAGTTGCGGAATACGTGAGAGCGTGCGGGCGCAGGTGTCGTTACCGCCATTACTGTTAATTAGCGTTGGATTGATACGGCAATATTTGCCCCGGAGGAGACGGCGGAGCGTCCCACTTTAAAGTGGAAAATTGCAGCCAGGCGACAGTATAATAATGAATAGTTTAGAGTGAGAGAGAGAGAGAGAGAGAGAAAGAGAGAGAAGGAGAAGCGGACAGTGAAATCAAGGCGAGTCTCGCGACACGAGTTCGCCGTCGTATTTACACGACGCCAATTACGCGACTTTATAATTGCGCCGCCGATGAAATATTCATTCTGTCAGCCGCGCGTATAGAACGCGCGCCGATCTGGGTCGCGACTCGGACTCGGATAATCTAGGACTGGGAATTTATGAATGATAGCCGATGCGATACGCGATGCACGTCTAGCGCGGACTAGTTTCAGAGTCGTGAGACTTTCCTTTCTCAGCCGCAAACTTCCACAGTCAAGAAAATGACTGCAATTTTGGAACTTGCGCTCGATATACACACGCACGCACGCTCCCTCCTTCTCCCCTATCTCCCTTTCCCTTGCACTTTCTTTTTCTCCATTCCCCCTGACAAAAAGAATTGTGCCGAAACTTTGCGCATACCTGCGAGAAAAGCGAGGAGTACGGTGTGGAAGAAATGGAACACGTGGGGAATACGCGGAAGTTGTACAGCCGAGTGTACGTGACGAAACATCCGATTGCGTTCGCGACGCAACGTAATCTACATAAAATCATGCGCCATAATTTATATGTGTTCAGTCAATTTGCATATTTACATTTTCATTTGCGCTCATTTACATTTTCACTCCAATGATATCGCCGTGCATCACCGGATATGATGATTTAACACAGCCGTGATAGAGAGACCATTTCCCGTGCGGCCGCGAAGAGAGGAGGCATCGAATGCCGAGCGGAACATACGTGCGTTATTTTTTTCTCTCCCACCCCCCTCTCTCTTTCTCTCTATTTTTGTATTTCTCCTCCGTTTTTTTTTCCTTTTTTTTCTAATTCGAACGCATCCGTCTCAATTGCGATTTCATCGCGCACGAACAACGACGCTCCGGACAACCCTCGTTGTCCCGGTTTTTTCGCACGAGCGAACCTTTTTATTTCGAATCCACATCATCGTGGTACAACATAGCGCGCGCGCGCGACATCCGCTACAAAATTCACCGCTGGCTAAAACGCCTTCAACTCGAGCGTTCTCAGGCGTCGAGTGGCCGAGAGTCGCGTGCGTGTCCTCGTCCTCGAGACTCGTCGTCGGGGAATCACAAATCGCGCCCGACCGTGACGGCGGTTTGCGGAAAGCAGGAAAAAGTGAGATTTCCCCGTCGGAGAGACACGACGGCCCTACCGACGTCGATCCGATTCAATCTCTAATCAGTCACGTTCCCTCACTCGCTCTCACGGCGATTCGGCGAATCCGATCACTTCAATGTACAAAGGCGAAAGCCGACGAGCTCGAATCTTCCCGGAGGTTCTCTCTCTCTCTCTCTCTCTCTCTTTCTCTGTCTCTCTCGGACGGGACGCGTCAGCCCGCGGAACGACCCGATCGGACTTTTACTCCCGACCGCGGAGGTCGAAAGTTTCGCTTACCTTAGCGAGAGCGGAGCTGAGTGTCGTCTTGTTTGCCCGCGCTGTGGGCTGATCTCGGCGGTCGGGTCGTGTTCTTCCTTGTTCCTCGGGAACTTGTATCTTCGCGGTCGGAGAGCGTTGTGCCTCCTTGCCAAGGCCGCCGCCAAAACTGACTCGATGGCGGCGTCGATGACGACGACGGTGGAGCGCGGCGGCGGCGGCGGCGGCGGCGGCGATAACGACGACGACGACGACGACGACGACGACGACGACGACGACGACGACGACGACGACGACGACGACGACGACGACGACGGCGGCGGCGACGGCGACGACGACGACGGCGACAACGACAGCGACGACGAAAGCGCGACGACGGGTGCCGCCACGATGCGCCTGTCTCGTGAATGCGCAATGCAGACCGAACCCAGGAACGGCGGCGCGTCGCGCCGCGCTAGGGGTTGGAGAACCGCCCTCTCTCCTTCACGAGCACCCCGTCCGTTTCAGCGATGGCCTCGCACCGCACGTCGCGCTGCGAATCTGGAACAAGCGCGAGCGACGTGATTCGCGTGCGAGAGGAATGTCCGTTGGTGGGATCAATGCTAAGGTCCTCTCTCTCTCTCTCTCTCTCTCTCTCTCCTCGTGAAATTTCGCCCGAGAGATATCTTTCCTGAAGAGAGAAATAAGGAGAGACCAACGCGACGCCGCAAATTGCCAGGTGATTTAGTTGCCTGTGAAAGTTCGAAAATGTGTAGTTGTATAGATTTAATTGCAGGTTCATAATCCTGTGTCGAACAGGACACTCGGCAAACTGTCACATAACGGGGCGTAAATAGAGGCGCATCCTCTAGGAAATGCGTTTCCTTCCAGGGAGATGGAGGGAAATTGGACATTTCGAAGATCGCACTTACAAGCTTCGAATCGCTCGAAAACGCGGGGTGGCAAAATGTGGGAGGAGGGGGGGGGGCGGGGAAACGAGGACGAAGCGCGTGTCCCAGCGCACGCGGGCAATCACGTGCGATCAATTAACGTCGCGATGTCGCACGCGAGTCTCTCGTCGCCGTCGCCACTCGTATCACTATCCCTTTCCAACATCCCTAGCAGCCCCGTCGCGCTCGATCCTCCCTCGCGCGAGTCTCCACGCACCCTCTCCGCGCGGACATAGTCGATTCCCTCGTGCCACCCTATTCTACCCATTTCCATCCATTTTTCCGAGCCACCCTTCCCCCGACCCACCCACCGCCCCTGCCACCGACTCCCCTCCCCCGCCCGCCCCCGAAAGTCACTCGCCTCGTCGTCTCGCTTTTTCCGCGGATTTTCCCACTAGACTCGCATCCGCCGGAGGACGCGCCATTTTTTCTTCCCGATGTTTTGCATTTTCTCTCATACACCCCCTCCCCCCCCCGCCCCCTCATTCGCCGTCGCTCGCCTTCTGAATCAGCCAGCCTGGGGCACTCCCGATGAATCAGCACCCCTTACCACCCTTGTCTCGGCAGGGCTGTAGCTAGGGAGGATCTTTCTCGCTAGACGAACGGTATTAGGGGAGGACTCTCTCCTTTGAGGAATCGCGCTTTGAAGTGGCTTGCCCGGCCGGCTGCCCACTCGCCAGGGTGGGAAAGTAATCTGGTTTACAGAGGGCGATCCTCTGGTTTGCGTTGTGCAGCAAAATCGAGACGAGCAGCCGGAAAATAAC